ACTGTGGGCCAGACCCATCTGTGCCTTTCTCATTTCCATCAATTGGATAGAAAGGCCAGAGTTTCTGTTAGTCTTAATACAGTGATTTTGGATTATGTAGTTTGTAATCTCTGTTGCTCATGACAATTTTGATAACTTTATGTTGAGTTATAACAAACTCTACACTGGAATAGGCATGTCTGGTTGAGGTGGATTCAAAGAAAGAAGAAATTGCCAGCTTTTTTACATCATGTATTTCAGGAAAACACAGAGTCTTTGAGCAATATTGGCATCTACTTTCATTGCTGCTTTAATGATGAAGAGATGGAAAAGGGGAGATGTAGCATGTTATGTCTGAAAAATTTGTAATATAAAGATGATAAGTCTTGGAGGAAAACCCAGAAAAAAGCACAGAAGATCTGCCTGAGTAGAGATCTTGAAAAGGACAATTCACACAGTCTGCTTTTTGCCTTCTGCGCCTGTAAATTAGTTTGGGTTTTATACTCTGTCACCAAATCAAGATAAATTTGGACATTAACTTGCTGATTAGATGACTTTACTAGATCAGAATAGTTAACGTGGAGCTTGCAGTGTAAGACAAGATAAGGAGTTTATGTGAGGTATAGATGTCTGAGATAGGTATGTAAGCTCACCAAAGATGGGTGTGTGCCTTGCCTGGAACCTGATGTGACCTTGGACTCTCTTACTTGGTCGTGATTCAGGCACTGTAGGAAATGTCACTGATAAAGCTATAGACATAAGGAACTGAAGATCATTGTGGGCTTCCACTTGGTGTAATGGGAAGCCAGATAGCCATCAAACACTGAAATATCTTTGAGTCCAAACCTGAACATTTAGCCATCCCTGTTGGGATTTCACCCTGATTATGATACATGCTCTTTCAGTCTATCTAGCTCATTTTACACTTCACACATAATTTGCTGGAGGAAAGTAAACAGGTTGGAGATGCAGTTTGATATTTAGACGAGGGAATGGGAAAGCAGAAGCACAGCTTGTATTTTGTCTGAAAGAATCTCACATACTGATGTGTATTTTGGCTGCAATGGAAGACCAAGTTTGTGTCACATTAGCCAGAAGGTGTAATCTGCAGGTATTTCTGTAACATGAAAGAGGTTTGGCCAGGAACATTTGGATAAGAACTGATTCCTTTGGATACGATTCACATTGCAATAAAAATTTGCATATAAGAGTACTTTGTTTATTGAAGACTTCAGATAAATATTAGTCCAAACTTTCCTGCCAAAGTAGTGATTAAGTGTCTTGATTTCTAGGCAGATGAAGGAATCCCACAGTATTTGCTACAAGGCTTTTTCTTAATAGCAAATTCACCTTTTTTTTTAGCACCATAACAGTAAGTAAAATGGTAGAGGTCAACTACTAAACCATCCATAAACTAATATGTGCACTGTGGCCAAGATAATAAAAAGTTTCTCCCCAGTAATATCAATAACATGATGTTAGTTCTGGTTCTGAAGTGATGCTGCAAAACGAATGGCCCATTCCTTTTCCAGTGTGATTAGCTGCAGGTGTTTAGATAATAGCATGAAAGTCATGCTGCTGTTTAAAAACCCTGAAACGTCAGTTGCCCTATCTGTTCAGTCTAAATATGGTTCAGCCACAAATAGTAGTACCAAAACATCCATCTCCTGGGCTTCCTGTCATGTAAGGCAGGGCAAAATGAGTTGCCATCTTTTACTCTTTTCAAAGTGTAAGTTCTAAAAGGAAGGCTATTTTGACAGTAGTTATTGAATGTTTAAGAGAGAAATGTATTTTTAAAGCCATTTTTCTGGCCTATATACAAAACTTTTTACCTGCAGAATATCCTCAGGGCATAAATGTTTCAAATAACCCTCTCACTGCTGCCTCTGACACCTGTGATTTAGAAGGGGAATTTCTGTAACATCCTCTGAGACCTAAGAGCAGATATTTATGCAGCCCTCTTGAAGACAGGCATAAGGTGCTATTTATCTGCATTATGGAATGAGTTTCGTGTTAAAGAAGTTCTGCTGATTTGACTTAATTACCTTACCTGAAGCAATGGCATGTGGAAATTTCCATCATTCTTTGCTTGATTAAGAATGCCCAGGATGTTCCTATTAATCTTTCTCTGCAAGTCATCCTTAGAAATGCTCTTCTATACAGCTTTTGCAGAAAAGAACTGTACATGACAATATTTAGGAGATTTTTTTTCAATAATTCTTTTTCTTTTTGAATCAATAACAAATTGAGCACTGCTTATTCAGGTTGATTTTGTGTTTCATTTTCCTGTGTAAAAACTTGATTGGTGTCAGTGAGGTACTAAAAACTACTTAAGGATCTTAGGAGATGGTGCTCCTATGCCTGTGGTCAGGAGGACTAAGAATTTACTTTCCATCAGTTCAGATGCAGGATGTGTTTGGATACGTGCTCTGCAACCTTGCTCTTGCAAAATGCACTTTCATTTAACATTTGTTCTTGTGAGATATCACAGAATCAGAGCACTGATGTTTGTGGGGATCCACTGAGATTGTCTAGTGTAATCCCTTTCTCATGAACTGGCATAGAACAGTCCTCTGAAATTCTGAACATCTCTTCAGAGGGAGACTCTACTTCCTCTCTGTGCACCCTTAAAAAAGAAATTATTTTTCTTATGATTAAATGGGATTTGCTGTGTTTCAGTTTGTGCCCTTTTCCTCTTCTCCTGGGCACTATGGAGTGGCTTGGCTCCTTCTTCTTCATTCCCTTTCACGAACTGTTTATGCATACTACTGAGATACTCCCTGGGCCCCTGACCCTTCTTTGCTCCATGCTGAACAGTTCCAGCTCTCTCAATCTCTCTTTATATAAGAGATGCTTCAGGCCCTTAATCGTCCAATTGACCCTTAGCTGCATCACTCCAGTAGCATCTGTTTTGTATTGGAGAGCTCAGATCTTGGCACAGCACTCCAGGTAAGGTGTAGAGGGCTGAGTAGGGGGAGGGCTGAATAGAGGGAAGAATAAGCTCCTGTAGTCAGCTGGCAGTGCCCTTTCTAATGCAGCCCAGAGGTTGTTGATGTGCTGTGCTGGATTGTTTACTACAGCCAGAAAAATGACAGTTTGCCCTCGTTTTACATCTGCTAAGAAGTAAGGATCAAAAGCATGTTCTGGAGCTTCAGCCACTTCTGGGTTCATCCTGTCGTCTTACCTAGGGATACTGGAAGTATGCTGATTTCAAGCTCCTCACTGATTAGTGATCACTTTGACATTCTCTGTCTTATCTTTATGTCACATTAGATGTTATGATTGGGATGGTAAAGAAGACAAAAAAGACACAAGCTTATCACATGAATAGATTCAGTGTTTCCTTCTTCTGAGTTACCTCGGAAGCTTCAGAAGACATGAGGACAGAAGTTCAGCTCTCTCTTCCAGCTTGCTCCTGTAATTGTAGTGTTCTAGCTGTATGCACATAAATTCTCTGAAGCCCCTCCAGTTAGCAGATTAAAAACAGAAGCTAACAGTAAAGCACAATGTTTAGGAAGACAAAAGAATTTAAAAAAGGTTTTCTACAGCAAAAGTTATGCAGGAGATTGGAATTAAAATGTACTGTAACATCTTGTTTCTCATAATACATTTCCTTCCAGTTCATTAACAATGGTACCACAAAGCAGCATTGCACCCATTTAGAAGGTGCCTTTGAAATATGGGGTGAATTGAGGGAGTCTGTGAAGATCTTGGGGTTTATTCTTACTCCAGTAGGTGTTCTGTGTGTTGAATAGCTGTAAAATCTAATGCTTAACATATTCAAAATCTTGTCTGAGAGAGAAAAGAAAAATAAGTCTGCAATTTCATTCTTTGCATGATGAACAGAGGTGACATTGTAACTTAATGATAACCTGGAGGAGTGCTTAGAGGGAAAAAAATCATCTCTTTCTGCTATTGAAATCTGTTTCTTAAGTAACTAGCATATTACACTGTTTGGGTAGCTCTAAGTGGAAAGAAACTAAAAGAGATAAACTTGATAGAATACTGAACCCAAAGGAGTTTAATAATCAGCAGAAATGTTTATTGAGAGGAATCCAGAAATTAATGGGTCATCAGTTATTTATACACAGAAAAGCTCCTTATTGATGTACTTGCTGAGTATGTACGACACAACTAGACTGCACTGCTCTTCTGCTTTCTATCACATTCTAGCAAATCTTGCTTGCAATTTCAGTTAGCCTTTTTTTGCATCCAAGGAAAGAAAATATTGATTAGGCTGAGTGAATTTGTTCCCAAAATGTTGAGGAGGCAAAATGATAGTAGACACAGGATGATGATAGCAAAGGAGCACAAATATTTCAGCTGGTTTGTTGTGGGGTGGATCTCTGAGTGTCTTCTTTTCCTCAACAGATTTCCTAACAGTATGGAAGTATCTAGAGGCTTGTGATTAGCTTAGCTGAATGGAGGCAGTCATATTTATTATTTCCCACATGTCTAAAAGCCATTTATAGATGCTAGGGGTTGTTAGGCATAAAATGATCGGCTTCCCCATGCTCCTCTATCAGGCATGTAAAGGCACCATTTCTCTTTCACGTTTTGGAGGCACTAGAGAGCTGCTTTCAGTTCAGGGCTGCTTTCAGTTTAGAGCTCTGGGAAAAGAAGTGCTCTGGGAAAAGAAATGCAGGTGGAATAAAAAAGAAAAGCCATGCAAAAGCTCACATCTCCACAAATTCTTTGGTGATTATTAGAGACAGTGATCATTCTGACAACTGTCCTTGCCAGGGCAATTCAGGAGTTGTTACCCTGACATATTGCAGATGTCTCTACCTGTAAAAACCAATATTCCACTCTCTCCATCCTGGGAAGAGTAACTTGTAAAGCCTGTGAAAATCTCTTCTCCACACTTAACCTCTAAGAATGCCAATGAATAATTATTTGAAAGGATTTTACCAGTCTCTTTCCAGCCTAAATCCTCTTGAGTGGGAGAAATGGGGAGACATGGCATCATGGTGGTTTTCCTACATTTTTACAAGGCTGTCTTCCTCTTGTGCTTTCTCTAGGGGCTACCAAGGACATGGGAAAGATGCTAGGTGGAGATGAGGAGAAAGACCCTGATGCTGCCAAGAAAGAAGAGGAGCGACAGGAAGCCCTCAGACAAGAAGAGGAGGAGAGGAAAGCCAAGTATGCCAAGATGGAGGCTGAAAGAGAAGTTATGAGACAGGGGATTCGAGACAAGGTAGGGATCTGGCTTTCAGAATGCACTGAGTGACTTACAATGCTCAATGGAGAACTGCTATTTTCAGCTGATTTGTAACCAGTCCCTTGAACACTCAGATAAAGCCAGGTGATTACTCTGGCACACTGAGCTTTCTATTTTGTACACTGTTCCTGGATCTATGTACTAGATTAAACACACCTTTCATACTGAGAAGCACTGGAATATTGATATAGGGAGTGAAGGTGTGAGGTGAAAACTGTTTTTCTCATCTTCTGTTAAATGCCCACATTATTCCAAATGCTATAGCCTTCTTTATTCCTGCATATGTGCTCTCCGAGCTTACATTTGCCATTTATGAGAAGTGTTCGTCATTCACTGTGCTTCTGAGAGATAAAGTCTATATTGCTTTGGAGGCTTTATTGGTGTTGATGGTTGAAATGGCACCAATCTACTCAGCTTTTTATATTTTGTCTTCCACTACTCACTACAGGGAAATTGACTAGGAAGAGAGGTTCAGTTATCTGATGAACTTAACCATTGGAAACCAATCTTTTCTACTGAATTTAATTGCTGATTCTTAGAATGTTGCCATTTGGTGTGAAAAGAAAACAAATAATTGTGAAGATTCAGAACGAGACAGAATGAGACAGAGATGTGTGAAATCTTTACTAGACAAATAAGCTTAATCTAAGATAGCTGAACCCATTGTTACAATGCATTGGGTTTTGGGGATTTGTGCGTGTACAGAGAAGGCGGTTTTGCTTCTTCATCCTCAAGACCAAATCAAAACAGCCTCTTTAGAAAAACTTAATTTTATAGGAAGAGGTCCTGGAGCTCAGACAACTTGGAAACAAGCATGGCTAATGGCTGATGAAGGAGTTCCTAATAGTAAAATCCTGTGCCATGGTTTACATTACTTGCCAAAGAATAAATTGTCTGGAAAGGAGTAGAGGCTGAATGCAAGGACAGGGTATGGTGGCTCAGCTCCCATGGCATGTTCAATAACAATTTTAGACCAAAACCTATATATTAAATGGGGAAGTCCTGTTCAGTATAAGAGATATACCATGTGCTGTGCCTACAGTGCAGTAGGAACATATCTGGGAGAAAGCTTCAGGTCTCAACACAGTGCTGAGAGTGCCTGTGCACAAACAAAACAATGACAACATGAGGCCGACCTTCTGACACAAAAATTATGAGTCAGGACCGAAGTGTGAATAAGATGTGTTGTTCTTAAGTCAAAGTGCATCTTGGAAAGAGGTATCAAGAACTGTTGTGCAAATAAAAAATTTGGAGCTGAAGCTTCTAAGAAGACATAGAACTTAATGTGAATCATCTGGCTCTGACTCTGCTTCTGCCAGACAAGGGTATTCATATGATCCTTATAGGGAGGGTATTAGTTGTAAGGCAGACAGATTCAGAGCTTTAACTTTGTCAAAATCTGTTATTTTGGGGGGCATAGTTAGTCAGTATATATCCCCATCTTGTAACATTTTAATATAAATATGTTAATGTGTGCACTGTGTGCTTACTGTGTTTTGTGCGTTTCTAAGCATTGGCATGGGTCTGATTTTGTCATTAAGAAGTGTAAGGAATTTCTAGTTGCAGGTACCTGGTCTAATGCCTTTTTTCCAGTAGTCACTATCTGCTCTTCTATGCCACTGAAGTGACAAGATAGATGGGGACTGCATTTTTCTTGATGTTAGATACACTGTAATGAAAGCATTTAAGTCACCTGAGATGTTCACTGTTACAAATCATAGGTGACCTTGACCATCATGTAAATATAGAATAGGTTGCAGACAGTTTAAGCTTGGCTGAAACATCTAGCTGATAGCAGTTTCCCTGGTATATTGACAGCTTTGCTCAGTCAAGCTGAGTACTGGGTATGGAAGTCTCTTGTAAATACACTGATACCTGATCAGTGTTGCTTTGAGTGACAAATTGTTGGCTGTGCATAGAGGGTAAATAGGGACACTTGGAGGAATGCTGTTTGACCTCAGTCAAAGCTCTGTGCTGCAGCTCTTATAGCAGTGTTGGTTACCTTTGGGTTACCTTTGGTATTAGCAACAGGGTCTTGTGAAATGCAGGAGCCCCATTCACTGGTTTACTCTTGTGGGGATAATCTCAGGTAGCACGCGTTTGAAAGAGGAAGCTATTTGCTGCAGAATCAGAAAAGACAGATAAGGCTATAGAAAGGAGCAGTTTGGGATTTATTTTATTTTCCTTTTTTCAGCTTGACAGATGTGAAAGAGATTGCTTTATCCTGACAGAGATCAATTCGATCAAGTATTGTAACTCGGTGACTAGAATTGTGAAAATAGTTTTAAAAGACCAGAAAAAAGCAATTGGTTTGTTTCCTTCCTTGTTCATTTAGAAATGACCTTTGAGTCTTTAAACAGAAATCATTTTCATTTCTCTGAAAGCAGAAATGTAAAGGAGTAGAAAGCCAAAACACAGCTTCTGTGTTAGACAATAGAACCTGTTGTTAGCGAGTATGAACTATATCTGAGAAGTTTTAAATATTAGACATCTCTGAGATGATTTGTTCCTTTTTATGCAAAGGAGTAAGAAATGAGCAAGTAAATTGAGAGTGTGAGTAAAAATAGATTATTTATTCAGAAGAAAAGTTTGAAAGTGCAGCAACTGGATCACATACCCACAGTCACAGACACAGCGTTAGTGTGGACCAAGCACAGGTCAGAGTGTAATGGCTTCATGAATCAGCTAGTATTGCTCTAGGTAAGGTCAACAGAAGCAACTGGTTTTTCATGTTGTTTTGGACTTTTTACCTTGGTACAACACAAAAGTGTCATGAATACCATCTCTCTTTTATGGCTTCAGGAAAACATGGGAGCCATGGTAGAGCTTGAAAGGAATGATGCAGTACATATGCTCCAGCTAACTTCTGGTTTTTAATCCCCTCTTTTAAACTGAAGTTACATATGAACTCAGCCAGCATAGCAGCCAGGTACAAGGTATCTTTAGGGTAATGAAAGAATAGATTATGCTGCAACAAAATATTTTTTCATTAAAAAATACAAAACATTTTTGTCTAGAAATAATTTTCAAGAATGAAATTTGGAGATGACATTTTGAATTTTTTTGGCACCAGTTACTACCTGACATAAAAGCCAGATCCTTCCTAATATTAAAGTTCAGACTCTGATACAAAAATGGATTGATAGTGTGTGAAGAACTTCCTCCTAACCCAACACGTATGTATGGAGCTTGCTTTCTGGCCTGATCCAGGTCTGACCCAGGCTTGATCTGAACGCTGCTGCTTCATACATCTTCTGGACCCTTTCACAATTGTCTCTGGGGAAAGGTGCCACACTCAACTGCCACAGACAGGACTGCTGAGGGGCCTTTAAGGCCCCTGAGCCAGATGAGTCGGGTTCTGATGCCCAGGTGGAGGGGCAGTGAATAGATAATATCCCTTTTAGCTTGATAAGAGCCAAGCACCAGTACTATCAGCATGCCATGCAAGAGCAGCCATCTTGTTTCCAGTGCTCTTGGGTTGAATATCTTGCTTCATAATCTTCTGTTACATACTTGCACATCAGGCTGTGGAATCTATTTACTTTTCTCACTGTAAAAACCCCTAATTACTTAATTACATAACTAATTGTTTCCTCCATTGTGGTGGAACTCAGGCCTGAGAGAGCCCTAGGATGTGCTTTGTAATTAACACTCCACCTATCGGCTGGTAGTGAGACAATGCCTGTAGTATGGCTTCCTGCAAATCTTACTCATGCTTTGGAAAACGGATATTGCTGAGTGCACGCTGAAAGTTAGCAAAAGCTTGGGACTGTCCTCACAGTGACGGGTTTCAATGAGAAAGTATTTAAGCATGGTTCTCTGTTCAAATGGCTTGGCTTCAAGACAGAAGTCAAGTTTGTAGTAGCTATTGTACACTCAGTTCTCAGTGTAAAATGGGGGTAGTGTCTCTGACCTATCTTGCTTCTGACTAGCCTTATGTGCTGGAGAGAACAAAAGTGAAGTTTAGTTATACTGTAAAGAATTTCTGCCCTCAAAGCTGAGCCTGCGATCTGCATGAGAAGCATAAATGTCGCAAAGAGAAAATCCAAAATCTGGAAGAAGTTGCCTCTATGAATGTAATTTACCTTGTTGGATGGTGTTGTAAAATTGTGACACAATGCTTAGTGGCACAGTCGTGTTCTGTTTGTGCTACTAGAAACCACACTTCTCCCATTGCGTGCAATGAGCTGAACTGCTTGTTTAATAAGCAGATGTACAGTACTTCATCTCTGCCATCCCAGCCTCACTTTCTAGGCAGTATCCAAATTCTTCTTCTTGTTGCTGTGCTTTCTCTAGCATAGTTGATTAAGATACCCACAAGCCCTTTACCCAAGGTAGATAGGTCTCCCTAATTTTTTTGAGATTTATTTGGAAAGGGAAAAAATGTTTGTTTGCTTTCTATATTCTGAGTTTAAAAAAAAAAAATAAATAAATAAATAAATAAAAAAAGTCATTATGTATTTAGAGCCCTGGTGGCAAAAGAATGTTGATATCTCTTTGCGTCAGCTGGCCCCGGTATGCAGCACTTGTCTATCTCAATGTTGGCTGGCAATGAGAAAATGGTGTTGAGAATTCTGGTATTTGTTCCTGTAGGCAGCATATCAGACAATAGGAAAATGTGCAGTCCTTGTTCTGGTTAAGTGTGAGTCCATCTGTCTCTTGATTAGAGCCATTAATTCTCAGCTTCCTTTTGGGCTGTTAAATGCTCTCAGTTGATTAGAAATTTTCATCTGTAGGCAATAAGATTCTCTGCAGTATTTGGAAATGTCCATGTCCTATGAAAAGCATGAAAAATTTCCAGTTCTTTGAAGATATTTAAGACTTCTGTAATTTCAATATCTCCTCAATTAAAGTTAGGTTTGGATTACTGACAATTGGAGAAGTTAAGGCTTTTGTACTTTCCAAAAGGAAAGTATTCCTATATAATACTACTATCTTCTTTCTTTTTATTTGTTTACTGCTTTCAAAAATTCACTTCTGGTGTTAAATCATTCAGACAAAAAGACAAGCAGAACTTTTAGCTCTAGCCTTAGATTCTTGTTTGATATAATCAACATGCAATGTAACTATGTAATATAATTATTTACTTTATATTTCATTTGTATATTTGCATCTGTGACTGGTCATAGGGCAGAAGTAAACCAGA